CAACAGGTTGGTAGATGGCTGACAGATTCCAGGATCCTAAAGTATGAGGCTATCTTCCTAGAAAAAGATGACCTGACTTTGACTACTGACAAGGCCCTAAATCCAGCTACTTTCTTGGAATGGGAAGCAGGAGGGAGGAGCCCTGAACGTAAATGTTTAGATATTATTGAATAACAAATAAAAGTAAGGCCAGACCCCAGGAAAAATCTTTCCAGACTGGGCTCCATTTATTTGTGGGTGATCCTCTTAGGTAATTGAGGAAAAAAGACATAATGTGTAGGCCTTGACTAAAATAGAATCAGGCGACTCCTTAAGAATTGGTCAGCACAAACTTGTGAATTGTTTGCTTTAAATCAGACTCTTAAAAATCAATTCACTAAATTAGTCTTAGAGACCAGATTGCCTTGGATTAAATGCCTTCTGATAGCTCTACTCAGGATAAGACCAGCCTTCAGAAGGACATTGGTCTCTTCTCTTATGAAATGCTTTATGGGCTTCCTTTCCTAAGCTCTGGTACTTATGTACCTACCTTTGAAACCAAAGACTATTTCCTCAAAAATTATATACTTGGACTGTCCTACCTTACTTTCTCTTAGGAAAAAAGGGTTGTTAGCACAGGCTCCTCCACTTGATTTTCCAGTTCACCCGTACCAGACTGACAATTATGTGCTGATCAAAACCTGGAAAGAAAATAACCTTGAGCCAGCTTGGGGAAGGACAGTTCCTGGTCCTGCTGACCATAGAAACAGCTGTCCAGACTGCATAGAGGGGGTGGACTCATCACACACAGGTAAAAAAAAAAAGGCACCTTCACCTGACCAGAAGAAACAATGGACCATGCTCACACATCCAGGAGACACCAGAGTAACCTTAAAAAGACTGTAGTGAAATTATTCTTTCTCTTTCATCTGGGAAATGGTATGTTTATTATTAATGTAATTCATGTTACTTTTCCCTTAACTATTGAATTCGATGCATGCCAGATTCTTCCTTGTGGAGACCTGTGTCCCAACTCCAGCTCCAAGGATACCCAGAGACCCATAGGGAAGCCTGGTATCTGTCTAGAATAGATGGATGTGGGGTGAAACACTGGGTATAAAGGATACACTTCTCCCTTTTATGACAATCATAAGGGCTGGACCAGACCCTGAGGCACTGGTAAAGCTCTGTTTTCCACCATCTAAAACAATCAACAGTCTTTTTAGCAGACTACAGTCAAAATGATAGCTGTTTCAGAAACACCCCTCTCCTTGCAAAGATAAGCAGTGTAACCCATTTTGATTGGTCATAGAAAGCTCTTGGAGTATGACAAAAGAACTATCCATAATTTGTAAATATGGGTTGGAGGCAGATGTCTCAGGAACAGGCCATTTAGGTGCCTTTGAGCTCTGTCTAGTTCTCAAACCCTCTCAGTGGACACCCATTTCTACCTCCACTCCAATGTTATCTTCATGTTTATACAACAATCAAACTCAGGTAGTAGAAGTCAAGGACCTAAGACAAATTGTGGCTATTGAAATCGGGTATGGGGATACAAATGCTTGGATGGAAAGGATAAAATATTCTGTCCAGACATTAAATAAGAGTGATTGTTACTACTGGGAAGCCAGAGTCTCAGGTGGTCCTGTTTCCATTAGGATGATCCTCAGATCCAGATGGAATGTATTGCATGTTGGCTCTGTTTCAGGATGTCCAGACATAATCATTACTGTTCCCAGAGGTCAGAGGTCCTGCAGGTCAGCTTCTGAGGACTGTTAAACCACACACTCCAGATGTCAATTATACCTCATGTCCTACCAGGCAGGGGACACGATTGACAAATGCAGAAAACCTGAGGGGATATAGTGAAAGCTGGTCCTTCAAGAGTCTCACAAACCAGTGAGACACAAACCAGTCCACATCAGTGGGCAGAGCTGATGTGTGCTGGTACTGTGGAGGACCTTTACTTGAGACTCTCCCAAGTAACTGGAAAGTCACCTGTGCTTTGGGGCAGTTGGCAATCCCTTTCATCATAGCATTTAGAACCCCAGCCCGTGCCACAACACATAGGAAAAGGAGAGACATAGGCATAGACGTTGCAGCCAACCACAGAGGGTCCTTGGATCCCCATGTTTATATTGATGCCATTGGGGTTCCTAAAGGGGTGCTAAATGAATTCAAGGCCAGAAATAAAATTACAGCGGGATTTGAATCTGTACTCTTTTGGTGGCCCACCATAAATAAAAATGTCAGGGATGCTATCAAAGGTTTAGCAGAGCAATTGGAACGAACTAATCAGATGGCTTGGGAGAACAGGCTAGCATTAGACATCATGTTGGCCCAAATGGGAAGGGTTTGAATAATTATTGGAGTTCTATATTGCACATATATACCAGATAATACAGCTCTGGATGAAACTATTAGTAAGGCCCTATAGGGATTAACTACCCTATCCAATGAGCAAGCTGAAAATTCAGGTATAAATGATTCCTTCACTGACTTAATAGAAAATTGGTTTGGGAGATGGAAAGGCTAGATGGTCTCAATCTTAACCTTTTTGGTTGTAGTGGCCAGAGTTTTAATTTTAGTAGGATGTTACATAATTCCTGTGTCCAAGGACTAATACAGCAGTTGAGACAGTCCTCACTAAACAATCACCCCCCACCCTACACAAATAAATTGATCCTACTAGAAACACAGAAACATGAGAGCCAACAACTCCTAAATGAGTTTGAAGAAAGGAATTTATATTAAAAGATGGGGTAAATTGTAAGAAAAACAATCTTTTATATCAAAGTATATGTGACTCTTTTAGATTACTTAAAATTCCTCAGGTCGCCATCTTAGGTGACTTGAATTGTGTATAGGGTTCCTGTTCCGTCTTCTGGCTTCTTGTACAGTCCCATTGCCCACAAAAATTGCCTGACAAATTACATGCCCTAACCCATCCCCTAAGCCTCTTAGCCAATCAAGAAAGATTGTGAACCTTTGACCTGGACAAATCCCAGGTGAGGGGCAGGTACAACTGCATCAAGGATATAAGGAAGAGCCACTTCAGCCATTTTGTCCTCTTGTGTCCACTCAGCTGAATTGAGTACATTCTTGTACCTTTTAATCAAAAGAAATTGCTGTAAGATTTTTTCTGTCTCTGCTGGGTTTGTTTTCGACAGTGGAGGGTCTTTAATTCCAACAATAAGAACTTTTGTAAGTGCCACAATGTACCCCCATCCAGCACAACAATAAAGGAAAAAAAAGAATTGCATTTTGGTTACACTTTTCAATTGCTTATTGCTAGTTATAGGAACATAACTAACTTGGGATATTATCCTCATTTCCAGAAACCATGCTAAATTTGTGTGTCCCATCTTTTGTAGATTTCTTAGGCTATTACATCATGAAATGCACAAATAAATCAGTTTTACCTCTTCCTTTATATTTGTTATGCTATCTGTATCCATTTCTTGACTTGTTTTATCTTCTGTGAAGATCCCTAACTTTTCTCAACCTTAGAAAGGTTAGCTATAAAGTTAGTGAAACTGTTCATTATACACTCATTATCAAATAAGCAATATTTATATTTTGATGAAATTGCTTCTTATAGTTAGGTATTCACTTTTGTTAAATGATTTTTTTTTTGCTGTTATGGACATTATCATGAGAAGTTTCTCCTAAATTCTATTTGAGTGCTTCCCAGGATTCTGAGCATATCTCTGTACTTTTACTATTGCTACAAAATTGAAAATCAACCATTATTTCATTTTTGAAATACTGAATTTTACCAAGTATATTTTACTGATTTAGACCTATGTGATGATATATTTATTCCAGAGAGTTATGTAAATCATACCTCTCTGAAAAAAAAAGAAGAAAGAAATCAACCACTATGCTGTTATTAACCAAGAGGAAGAAAGGACAGCCCCTGGGAACAGTTTAATCAGCCTTGACATCCAAGCCCATGATTCAGGATGATTTAAATGGTCTGTGACAAAAGAATAGTTAACAGTCTGCAAAATGTCCATTATCTTTCATTAGCAAAGGCCTATTGATTTAGGACCTGTGTGCTTCCCATAGGGTGTTAGTAAGATGTGATATGAAAGCTCAGGTTCAGCATTATTCACTATCAACAATGCACTCCAAGGGAAGTCTGTTAGGAAAGTACAAATTAAATCTTCATACTAAATAGTTGCATCTGTCTGGGGAAGCCAGGGAGCTTGTTGGATACTCGTTATAATTTTCTTCTAAGGTCACATGCATTAACTCTGTTACAATGGTGTCTTTGAGGATATTACACATGAATAAGAACTCTAGAACTTATCTTGTTTTATGATACATATTTTTATCAGATAAAATTCAGTCATACCTACGGATGTCAGGATGTCATCCACAGCTGTGCTTTGGTGCTAGGAAGCACACCAATCAGTTTGGAGCATAATTTATGCCTTTCTCTCTGAGGCTAGATTAGTGCAGCACAGTATGTCAGAGCACTGGAGTAAAGAATTGCTAACCCCAGCAGCATAATTCTATCATGGAGGTACAGACAGCCCTTCCCACTCATCCCAGGGGAAGCATTCACACTTAGTTCATCAACCAGTACCTACAGCACGTGGCTTTACTAACTATGAGATGGGCTCGTCAGTAGGATCACCTCCAATAGTACAAGGTGATGCAAGATAAGACCGGAGCTGTGGATACCACCTTTACTATTCTCATGAGTCCTGTGTGAAAAGCTAGGGTACACTCTCTCATAATCACAAAATGCAAATGTTACTCCCTATCATATGACACAGAGGAGTCTGTATACCCCAAGTTAGAGATGTGCTCCAAAGGTGCACTATGACCCAGCAAAGTCCTCCTCAGACAGGGACACTGCTTACTTAGCAGTATGAACAAAACTGACATGCAGGACCATTGACCAGGCTCAGAAAGTAAAAGAAAATATATTCTGAGTTTTCTGTGAATAAGAATTTTTATTAACAAAGCATAAAAACAAAAAAGCATCAACAGAAGGAAGAGCTACTTACACCAGAATAGAAAGGCTCACCAGACACGCATATCACATCCTGCTCCTGGAGAATCAGAAGATCTCTGGCAAGGTGTAGCCGGACTTTGAATGGCTCCTGATTACCATCCTGCAGCAAGCAAACTCCTGTCTTTGTCTTAAGACACAAAAAACCAAAGAGAGAAAAAACATGTTTAGTGTACAAATTAGAATTTTAGGGCCTATTTAAAGCAAAACATGGTGAGTAACATTTTAAACCTGAGGAACGTGTACTCTGGTAAGTCAGAAATGGTGCAGCAGAAAAGGGCAACCTCTTGAAGCAAAGTAGACATTCAGATAATGGAGACTATGTCAGAAATCCACATTGAGATTTGTGAGTAAGGTTGTTTCACATTTGCAAAACAATGGAAGTTTGGTTTAACACTTCTAATCTAAATCCAAAAATGTAATCTCTTTATAGTATACAACTTACATTCTGAAGAATTCAGAGCTTGAAATTTTATGATTCATTTTTAAGTATTTCTAGAGCCAGGTAATATCACTATCATCAATTTTGGAACACTTTCCTCACTCCAAAAAGAAAATAAAAAACTCCATGCCCATCTGCTGCTCCAGCAAACTTCAGTCCATTTTTGTCCCTAACATAGAATTTTAAAGCTAAAAACATACCTACTTAACATTTACTCTTAATTACACTTTTTAATATCCCTAGTTGTCAACATATGTACACACGTGAGCATGCATGCACACACACACACACACTCTGTACTTAGGAGGAATGAAGATAGGAGGCAAGTGAACTATCTCCATTACCAAGTAAGTTACTCAAGAAGATAACCTAAAATAAGGTTCATTTTTGTTTGTTTGTTTTTGTTTGTTTCTGAGTCAATGTGTTGGGATCACACATTTTTGGGAATTGTGAAAGCAGACTTAAGATTTCTAACTTGTACTTTGTGGCTTTTCTCCAGCACCTTAGTAATCTCTAGAGAAGTCCATGAATCCTTATCATTCTGGGAGCACTTTGATATTACAACGTCCACCTGAATAAGTATTTTCTCCCTAATAAGTGCTTTTCTTTCTTTCTTTCTTTCTTTCTTTCTTCTTTCTTTCTTCTTTCTTTCTTTCTTTCTCTCTCTTTCTTTCTTTCTTTTCTTCTTTTTTTCTGGCAGTACTGGGGTATGCACTCAGGGCTTTGTGCCTTACCCTTTGAGCAACACACCCAGCACTTTCTACTTTTTAAATTATTTTCTGCATAGGTTCTTACCATTTTGCCTGGGCCTGGCCTTGTACCATAATCCTCCTACTGCCACCTCCCAAGTAGCTTAGATATCAGGCATGCACCACCACATGTGGCTGTACATTTGTCACAGGTACTAGAGAAAATTTCTTTGGGATAGAATATACTCCCTGGGTCTTACTCTGAACGAAAAAGTGAATGAGAACAATGACTAAAAGTAACATTTTCCTTTGATAGTTAACTGAATGGGGGAATACATAGGGATACATTTTTATCCTCAGTGTTTTGGGAGTACAATAACCCAGGCAATTGATATCAGACTTACTCTTAGAATAAAATTTTCCATGGGGATTAGAAGGAATTTATTTCTTTAGAATAATTTTTCATAATGTTAATGGGAATATATTTCAAGAGTAGAGCTTCCAACTAATCAGCCTATGAATAGATTTCTCACATGTGCTGATGTGCACCATTTTATCCTTTATCACACACAGTTGTGTCTTAGTCTACAGTTACTTTTTAAGACTTGTGTCATTTTTAGGAAAAACAGAAACTGCTTTAAGTGCATTTTTCCTCATCACTGGCCACAGCACCCAGCAGGTGCACACTAAATCATACTGATTAATCTATTCTAGAATGTAATTCAAGTGGATATGTCCAGAGTACAAAAGCACTTTAAAGTAGCATATGATACTTTCCTTAATATAAAATGTAAATTTTTTGCATTTTTCCCACAATAATGTCTTCATGCTTACTATGTGATCTTGGCTGGGGCCCAATGATGGATGTGGGGAACTGTATGGTGGTGAAATAATACATCAAAGCCACATGATCATAATTGAGCACATTTGGTGATTTTCAATGTACAGTACATTCTGGGCCAACTTTTCCCCTATGTGTAAGAAATAGCTGGTAATCACAAACATTGCTGTTTCAACTTAAGAATAAAGAGGGACTTTTTCCTTGAGAGTTCAGAAATACATTATTATTATACATCAAAGAGAACATCTGAGGAACTCTGAGTCCACCGTGAGGGTTTATCATCTTGTTTCTAATGAGGCCAAAGTGGACACTGACTCTGTAGTATATAAAATGTTCCCTCATTATTACATAGTGGTCTGGAAACTGAACACAGACTTTAAACTCACTTCTGGGTCCTGAGAGGACAAGAGTTACAAAAAATTCAAGAACAACATAGAATTTTGTTAGAAAGAAACATACACATATATCAATAAATAGCTGCTGCTGGGCATGGTGGTATATGCTTTCAATTCCAGATACTTGGGAGGTAGAGGCAGGAAGATTAGAAATTCATGGTCAAGCTGGGCAAAAGTAGGATAGCAAGATCCTGTCTCAAAAACAAAAAGCCAGGGCCATAGCTAAAGTGGTAGAGCATCTGCTTCATCAGCATAAGGTGTTAGGTTCAATCATCTCCCCCTGCCAGTATACATACACACACACATACATAAATAAGTGAATGCTTGAAGAAAACAGAAAACAGAGAGCTGAGGACAAATTGACATTTTTCAGAGTTGATAGACATTACATATATTTTACCACAAAAATTAAGACAGATTAAATAAAAATGTATGGAAAATCCCATACATTTATTACTTTTAAAATATTGTGTTATATTAACAGAGACTCAGAGATGAAGTAGACAAGAATCCCTGACTTCAGAGTATTTCTACCTATTAAAAAAAGTATCTATCTATCTATCTATCTATATCTATATCTATCTATCTATATATACATTTATATGAAATATGATACATAGATACAATATGATAGAAAATAGATGCAAAATCTATCTGATGGGGGACCACTGTGGAGAGAGGAATTGGATATTTTTTTAAGGGATGTTTAAGGAGGATTTACAGATAAAAAAGATATGGATTTTCTTGAAAAATCAATTGAAGAAGCAGTTTTTGAGGAAACAAATGGATTTTCATCAAGCAGGAGATAGGAAATGAATGAAGATGATTCAGCATGAAGATGCATAGCTCACAGGATGTAAGAAGTCAGAAGGACGAGAAGGCATCCTCCATGCTGAGGCTGTGTGGTCCAGCAGAAGTCATGGAAGAAGTTGTTTCATGATCAGATGAGGCCCTTGGATGATGTGGCAGGAGTTTGAAGGTGATGGAGGTGCTCTAGCATAGTGCCAGCAATGTGGTAATTTGTTCAAATTTGTTTCCTAAATTTGTTTATTCCCATGGAGTAGAAGAGAACAAGGAAATGGGAAAATTAAGATACAGTTATTGTTGTCAGAACGTGGACTTTGAGCAGGGAGTGTTGGAAACTGGAAAACAGCTCCATTCAAGTCCCTCTAGGAGATTTCTGACGATTGAAGAACCCAATTGCATGGCATTGTCCTGAGAAGGTGTACCATGGCTCACAGGGATCCTGGCCAATGAAATGTGGGCACATGCTTCACTAATCTGTTCTTTAATGACCACTTACACAGGGCCCATTGTGTGCTAAGAAATACTAGTTCATTTCATTATCTAATAGCACAATATATTCACTTTCACAAATAGGACAGGAGCAATGGAGCTGAGATGAAGCATTAGGGCAGGACAAAAGCCAGGTTTTATGGGTTTTGTGCTCTTTATGCTTGCTTTGGTTTCTCTCTTGCAGAGATTTTTAGGGAGAACTATACCAATCATCATGTATAACAATGGCACGGCCACTAGCATCTTAGTAGCCTTCAAGAATCTCTTCATGCAGTGGAAATGATTCTGAAAAGGACATCATCTGGACTAGCTGTCCATCATACAAGAAAGCATCAGCAACCACCAGAGGCAGGGTAGAAATGGAAAGGACCTCTCTGCAATTGATAGACACCTTTTCCCTAAAGGCAAGTTACTGGGAACACAGGACACTGTCTGATGAGGGGTGGGGGGACGGGACTACAATGACATCTGCTCTCCCTTCCCCCAAGATTGCTTCAGGGCACACTAATGAAAACAAGGTCTGAGATCAGCTGTTAGGCAAACTGAAATACCTATGTCTGCAAAATCATCACAGAACCAAAGACTGAATTGTTTAAAAATTGAAAATCATCTAAAACATTATTGATTTATCCTCTGATTTTAGGATAAACTTAACACATTCATTATTGTTCTTCTTCCTTATAGAAATAAAACAATAATTACTTGACTCCAAACTTTGTTGGTCATGCATATATTACACACAAGTCAAAAAGTACATGTGATACAACACACACACACACACACACACACACACATATACACGTATTTAATGTATAAATGTATTATAAATTTGAAAATTATAAAGCACAAATGTTAAAATTATAAGGAAATGATTAATAAAATGAGATTAAATGAAATATTATTTTTCTATACCTGATGAATAGGAATATAGCACCTATAAAACACCTAAATTTAACAAATTCCACATTGAAGACAATTTGCATAGGGAATTATTAAATGGTGACATTTCTTAGTTAATAAAAAGGTAATACTTTTAAAACTACTCATTGACTAACTTTTACAAATAAATGAAATATGTCTGTGAATTTTCAAGAATTTATTCCTTGCTATAGATACAAATCTCACATTTAAACTTTTTAAGGATTTATACTTGTCTCAACTTAGTACCTAATTTGAAACATTAAAAAATAAGCTATCATCTATTTTTTATTTAAAAATAAGATCTTTAAACTTATGCTCCAGTCTTAAAAATTTTGATTTTATAAAACTTTAAAATCTATGTTCTTTTAATTTTGAAATGAAGATTACCAGAAATAAGAAATCCAAGGAGACTATAATTTGAACAGTAAACATTGTAGCAGGTTTTTTTTAATTTGGTTGATAAATACACTTGAATTTGTTTTGTAAACCTGTAGTAATATGCAATTTATTGTACTGAACGATATTGCAGCAGTAATATATGAAATG